TCTGTTATTTTTAAAAATCAGAGTTTTATTTTTTGCCCACTCCAAATCTTTGCATATTGGGCACAAGAACATAAGAGGCTTCAGGATGAGACCCATCTAGCCCAGTATCCTGTTCTCAGAGGCCAAGAAAACACCTCTTCTGGGACATGAAGACGCTGTCAGCATCTCCTGCTCAGGATTGCCAGCAACTTGCACTGAGAGCCCACGGGCAGGGAGGGAGCAGAGGCTCTTGGGTACCAGAGAGCCCACCTTGCTTCATCCTGGGCCAGACTGAGAAGGGAAGGTGGCCAGGCCATCAGCCGCAGAAGACAAACTGCACCCAAATCTGCAAGCTGCTTCCCAACACATGAGGGGAGTAGCCAAGAACAAACTTCGCAAAGCAGCCAACAGCCCATAACTGCATGTGCTTTTGTTGCAAACCGCTTCGATTTTTTAAAAAATGAAAAAGTGGCATATAAATATTTTTTGCTGTTGTTGAGTCGTTTAGTCGTGTCCGACTCTTCGTGACCCCCTGGACCAGAGCACGCCAGGCCCTCCTGTCTCCCACTGCCTCCCACAGCTTGGTCAAACTCATGCTGGTAGCTTTGAGAACACTGTCCCACCATCTCGTCCTCTGTCGTCCCCTTCTCCTTGTGCCCTCCATCTTTCCCAGCATCAGGGTCTTTTCCAGGGAGTCTTCTCTTCTCATGAGGTGGCCAAAGTCTTGGAGCCTCAGCTTCAGGATCTGTCCTTCCAGTGAGCTCTCAGGGCTGATTTCCTTCAGAATGGATAGGTTTGATCTTCTTGCAGTCCATGGGACTCTCAAGAGTCTCCTCCAGCACCAGAATTCAAAAGCATCCATTCTTCAGCCATCAGCCTTCTTTATGGTCCAGCTCTCACTTCCATACATCACTACTGGGAAAACCAGAGCTTGAACTATACGGACCTTTGTTGGCAAGGTGATGTCTCTGCTTTTTAAGATGCTGTCTAGGTTTGTCATTGCCCTTCTCCCAAGAAGCAGGCGTCTTTTAATTTCGTGACTGCTGTCACCATCTGCAGTGATCACGGAGCCCAAGAAAGTAAAAGACCATATTTTGCGCTCTCCTCTTTCACCCTCATTAAAAGGTTCTTTAATTCCTCCTCACTTTCTGCCATCAAGGTTGTGTCATCTGCATATCTGAGGTTGTTGATATTTCTTCTGGCGATCTTAATTCCGGCTTGGGATTCATCCAGCCCAGCCTTTCGCATGATGAATTCTGCATATAAGTTAAATAAGCAGGGGGACAATATACATCCTTGCCGTACTCCTTTCCCAATTTTGAACCAATAAATATTTTTATAAATAAAATAAATATATCAACTGAACAAAGGGGAAGAGCTTGAGCACTCTGGATTCAGAGAGGAACTCTGAGCTCCATAACAAAATACAGAAAAGCACAGTGGCTGCAGAAACCTTTGGACCCCATTGACATGCTGTGCTGATCGCTGAGAAGGCAGCTGTCCCTACGAAGCTCCCAAGGCCTTTCCTGGGAAAGTGGACAGGAAAAAGCTTCTCTCCCTCTAGGGAGCTCATGGGCAGCCTGGGAAGCTGTGTGTTGGAAGATGCAGGGCAGAGAACAGAAAGTTCTTCTTCTTCATGTAGAGCATAGATAAACTGGGGAACTCAGCGCAGAGTTAAAGTGTGGCCTTTGAAAAGGACCAGACAAAGGCATGGAGGAAGAGGGCTATTGGAAGACGATTTGCTCTGCTCTGCCTTCATGCCTCTGAATCCCAGTTTCTGGAAAACACAGTAGCAGAGAGTTGCTGTTGCAACAGGGGCTCCCCATGGGGTCCCTGCTTGGTCACTGTGGGAACAGGCAGCTGGACTAGGTGAGCCCCCTTTGGCCTGGTCCAGGGCGGGGCCTGACTGACTCCAGCTGCAGGAGCTGAGGCTGCAGACGAGGCCAGAGACCGGCTCTGCTGTGAGCCCTGGAACACCTGCTCTCTGCCTTGCAGGTCTCTTTCCACCTAGCCTGGAAGCAGCTTTCAAAATGTGCCAGGTGCCATGTGCATTTTGCATCTGGCTATCGGCCTCTTGTGGTGAAAATGCCCGGGGGCCAGTTTGGCACCTGCCGTCTCCCCCATCTGGAGGTGCATCCCTGGAGATCCTTGAATCTTGACTGTTCTCACCCACTAGCAACACATCCTGTGCAATTCCATCTGCAGAATCAGAATGAATGTCAGGAACCCAAAAGCCACATTGAAAAACACAACTTTCGAGCCGTCTGTCCCCAAAATAGAAAACCAGGCATTCCGTTTTGGTGACTGTAACCCTGGTTTAAGAAGTCATTTGGCGCCTGGCTTATAGATCTGAGCTTCTAACGCTGCCTGGAAGCGCAGGGCCTGGACTGACTCCAACTACGAAAGCTGCTGAGCAGACTCTTAGGCTGGGGAGTTATTTGGGGTTTGTTGTTGGGGGTGGGCTGTTGCTGCTGCTGTTGCTGGGTGGTGTGTTGTTGTTTTTTCGTATATTTATTTTAGTTCTTCTTGTGAATTATGTGGAAACTGCTCACTCTGGCTGTGCATTTTTTAAAAGGTTATTTCACTGTTCATGACTACTTTAGCAGTTCTGCATTTTTCTCATGCTGGAAGCCGCCTTGAACATGGCTTGAAATGTGGAAAGGCGGTGTGGAAATAAAATTACGCCTGTTTGTAGTACCCCCCCCCCATGATCACTGCCAGAGGGGAGTGCGGTCATGAGATCCCACCGCCTGCAGGCCGAGGGAGAAGTCGGGGCAAGGGGAACCACGGCGGTGAAGCAGCTTCCTGTCTCCACTTCTCAGCTGGGCCTCCTTGCTGACTCAAGAGCTGCCCGCGTCAGCCCCAGAGGACGCCTCTCTCCCGGCTGACTCACCTACTGCTGGGCTGCCACCAGAAATGCCACAGCTTCTCTGTGGCATCCAGCCAGCAAGGGCCCTGCCACAGCTTCCAGAACCAGCTCCAGGGGTGGAAGGGAGGCTGGTGCTGCTGAAGCAGCTGGCCCCGAGGCCTGGAGCCCCGCCAGACGTGAGAGCAAGGCTGGGCGATAAGGACACCTTCCAGCTGGCGCAAAGGAAGCCTGCCTGCTTGCCCTACCAGCTCAGCTGCTTCAGATGCCCCCTGGCAGCCTCACCTGCCACGCAGGCCCCACGCCCTCCTCTGGGCAGCCCAGCTGGGGAGCAGGGAGGAGGAGGAGGAGGGCAACGAGGTCCCTGCGAGCTGAGCCTGGGGGGTGAAAGGGGGCAAGAGGAGAGGCAGTGCCAGGCAAGCCAGAGGCATTCCCAGCTGAGAGCTCCAGCCCAGACCTTTGCCAGGGTTGCACAGAGGCCCAAGAGGCCAGGAAGCCACTCTAGGGCTTGGCAGAGGAAAGAAATCTCCCTGCCCCTGCCTGGCCACAATGCTGCTCACCACAAACTTCCTTAACAAACACCCACCCACCCACCCACCCAGCTGCACCCTAAATTTATGCTGCTGCCACAGAATGCTAAACATCCAAAGGCCCGGTTATAGAGAAGCGCCTAAAGATATGTAATGAAGGTGCCAGGCAAGGCTCCCCGGGCAGCGCATTGCACAAACGGGGAGCCACCACAGAAAAGACCCCTCCTCGTGTCCCTGCCCTCTGGACCTCTTGCAGCACAGCACTATAGAAAAACAACACGGAAAAGGTCCCAGCCCCAGAGAGCCTGCAAAATGAGATCAAATAAGGGGAGGGGAAAGAAAAGGAAGGAAGCAGCTCAGCTGACACAGGATGATGCTGAGCAATCCTTAAAGCCCAGAAAGCCTATGGCTTCCTGAATTGGGTCCCTTGATTCTATGACCCCCACAGTCCCCTCTGAAGCCCAAGCCCCTGAAACTGCCTTGCCTCACAGCCCTCCCTTGCTCCCATTCAGCCCTCCCCATTTCCTGATATTTCAGAATGTAAGTTCTTTGGGGGCGGAGACCTTCCTGCTTCTGCCACTGGGTAAAGGCCCCGCACCAACATATGCTGCCACTGCCAGCCCAGGCAGACCCTGGGACCAAAAAACCCAACCCCAGGCCACAAGCACAGCTGCCCCCCAACCCCGCCCACCCTGGCAACAAAGGGGGCTGAGAAAGCTCAGGGACCTGGAGCCATGAGTCACATCTGAGTGGCTGCTTTTGGGAAGCTGGCGCTGGCACCTGGCTTGTGAGCAAACACTTGTCTCATCCCATCCAGGAGGGAATGGGCAGGACTGGGTCACACCTGGGCAGAGGCTGTGCCAACCCGAAACCGGCACAGGATCTGAGCAGCAGAGCCGGCCCCTGCCAGACCCAGTTCTGCAACCTTGGCAGGCGGCGGGGGTGGGGGGTGGGGGCAGAGAGCAGGAGATTGGAGCCAAAAGGGGTGCCTGCCCCCCAAATCAGGACTCTCAATAGGGTAGCCACAGGAAGGGGGGAGCACTGCCCTGAGATCTACGGGTATAAGGCAGTATACAAATTTAATAAATAATAATTATTACTAATAACCCAGCTGGAGTGGCTGAAAAGCACCCACAGCTGCGGCACAGCCTCCTTCCAGAGCCCCCACTGCACTAACCCTTATGGGGGGGGTACTGTCCTTTTACAGCCCCCCTCAACCTTTCCCCTAAAACGACCGAGGCGCGACTGCAGCCCTTCCCATCGGTGCTGGTGGAGAAGCAACAGTCTGCAAGTCCAGCTCAAAGCCCCCAATCTCGCCCCCTCCCCAAAAACCCTGCCAGATCTGTGGCCGCCCCGGGGCCTTTCCCCCCATCTAAGGAGGCGGCTCCGGTAGCCCCCCCCCCCAGACACAGAGCCGTGCAAGGGGGGGGGATGCAGTGACACGGAACCATACAAAGGACAGCGCGCCCTCCCCCCCCCGGTGCCATGTCGACGCTCGTCGGGGGAGGAGAGGGAGCCCCCCCCACGAAGCCCCCTCCCCGCCCTCCCTCCGCGGATACAAAGGCTGCGTCTTCCCAGGACCCCCCTTTGGGAGAAGCCCCTGGGGGCGGGCGGCCCGCGCTCACCTGGCAGCCCCCTCCGGGCGAGCCTGCTCCTGGTCCCGGCCTGGGGCAGCAACAGCAGCAGCCCCCCTGCAAGGGGAGACGACGAGGACCCCGGAGCCCCCGGCCGCCGGCCTCCCGCCTGACTCACCGCCGGGCTCCATTTCCTACCAGCTGCTCCGCCGCGCCCCGCCCCCGGCGCGCCATTGGACGGCCCGCCTGCCCCTCCGCCCGGCCCCGCCCTCCCCGGGACCAAAGCCCCGCCCCCTTTGACCCCCCCACCCCACCCCCAAACCGCCCCCCCCCCCCGCTCCGCGCAGCCCCGACGCGCGCAATCCCTGGCGATGCGCAAGAGCCGGGCGCACGAGCCACTCCGCGCCGCCCTCCCTCCGCCGGGCGCAGCTTCTGGGCGCCGCCCGACGGGGAGATCCCGGCGGAGGAAGGAGACGTGGCGGCGGCGGCGGCGGCGGCGAGGGATCCCCGCGCGGAGGCGGCAGGGATCCCTCGGCGGCGGGGAAGGAGCGCGGCGCTGCTCCTGCCGCAGGAGACGCGCTCCCTCGGGGCGCAACGCGGAGAGGATCCGCCAGGGAGAGGATCCATTGCGGGGGGGGCGCCCCATGTTAGCCAAGATTTCCAAAGGGCCGCCCTGCCAGGTTGGCCGCTTTCCAGGGCGGGGGGTGGGGGGCGGGAGGTGCGTTTTGGGGATGGCGTTTTATGCGCCCTCTGAAAGGTCGGCTCTTCTCGCGCCTCTGGGGCAACCTCAGAAACGTGGGTGGCGGTCTATGGAGTTTTACGCAGAGGAGACCCATTGAAATCAATGGATGGCTCAGTTGGTAGAGCGTGGGACTCTTAACGTCATGGGCTCGTGCTCCACGTTGGGCAAAAGATTCCTGCACTGCAGCGGGATGGGCTAGATGACCCTTGGGGTCCCTTCCAACTCCCCAATTCTAAGATTAATTTCAGTTGGTTCTACTCTGAGTAAAGCTTCATTGGAATACCACCCCTGTGCCTTTTAACGTGGCAGGAGAGAGAGAGTGTCTGGGGAGCCTGGAGAGCTCCAAGTGGAGAGCTGCAGTGCAGGTGCAAGTTCAGTTCCCAGTGGCATCGCCTGGCCTACCCAAGAGAAGCTCGTCCTCCTTCCTGGAGCCCCGGAGAGCTGCTGCCAGTCCGTGCAGGCAACGCCCAGCTACATGAACCTCCAGGCTGACTTCAGTGGAAGAGGCGTCATTCCACGAGGGGCAACATGCGTTCTAATGCCAGATAAGCCTGGCTGGCCATTGCCTGTAGTGATTGTCCTTTATAGGACAATCTTCTTGTTACTGGTACAATTTTCATTTCCAGTTCAATTTAATCATTAGCAGAACACAGGCAGAACTACCACTCAGCAGAGGGCAGTGCAAAACCAGCGCAGGCTCCCTTCCAAAGGAGGTTCCATGCCCATTTGGCGGCCTTTGCCAAGCTGGTGTTCAGGACTACAACTCCCATCAGGAGCGGAGTGATTAGAGCGCTGGACTAGGATGTGGGGAACCAGGGTTCAAATCCCCACTGGGCCATGAGGCTCACTTGGGCAGCCACTGGCACTCTCTGCCTAACCTACCTCACAGGGATGTTGTTGGGGGTTAAATGAGGAGGGGGAGAGCAGAACGAGACGGTGGGAGATAAATGGAACAAGTCAATAATAAAACGTGAACAAAAGGTCCCAGCTTCAACTCTCCCCATCCCACCCCCATGACATATCCAGGTAGGGAGGGAGGGACAGACCCCCTGCAGGAGCCCCTAGAGAGGGGCTGCCAGTCAGAGTGGGCAGCACTGAACTAGGTGAACCAGTGTCCTGACAACAGCTTTGTGTTGTTCTGAACCTCCAGCCAGGACCCCATTTCTGTGCCTGCTTCCCTCACTAGCCAAGGTGCCAGGACCCGGCAGCAGAGGAGAAAGGCTGGCAGAGGGGCACCCGGATCAGGGCCGTATGGAGGAGATGGCCGTGGGTCCCGGGGAGCTCGCTCCAGGTGTGCTCGCTAGGTCTGGGGAGACTGATCCCCTCCATGGAAACCTTGAACGAGGACTGGGCAGGGAAGAGGGGGGTGGATGAAGAGCCCTTGCCCCCTCCAGGAACATCCTAGGAGGGGGGGCGGGCAGCTGCTCTGGGGGTCCTGCTGGGAGTGGGTGAGACCTTGCATGGAGGAGACAGGCTGCCCTGCCACAATCACCCCACTTCTGACACTGGCAGCTCCTTCCACAGCCCAGCTCTCCTCCACCAGCGGCAGCAGCCCCTGCAAGGGTTGCCATGGTGACTCTCCCCTCCATCACGTGCCTCAGTGGCCTGGGCGGGCTCCGCTCCCCCTCCCTCTGCTTTGTCCCCCAGTGCAGAGGGGATGAGATCCAACCAGGGGGAGTGGGCTGCCTGAAAGAATTGCCAGGAGAGGCTGGGCAGTGGCCAAGGAAAGGAACTCGCCACATGCTCAGGGGCCAAGGCCTGGGGCTCAGAAGGCATTCCAGAGCGAACTCTGCTTGGTGTCACCTCCCCACTTTTAGGGCTGCCCATTTAGTCAACTGCACCAAACGCCCGGCTTGCGCAAGGTTTCTTGACAGCATCTCCTTACTGTTAAAAGGAACAGGCAGCAGGTGAGGAGCAGGCCCTTCTCTGCTGGAGCACCTGGAGAGGCTCTGCCACGTAGTGTGGGCAGGCCTGGGCAAGGGGCACCGAGTCATGCCCAGGACACTCTCTCTGCCGCTGAGATAGACTCTGTGCTCCCCAACAGGAGGCGGACGGAACCCTCTTAATCCCTGGCCTCCTTTGGGAGGAAAGGCCAATTTATCAATCAATCAGTAGATCAATCATTTAATTAAGAAGCAAAACAAAACACAGGAAGACTGGCTGCTGCATCAGGCCAAAGGGGGCCCAATGAGTGCAGCCTCCTGTTCGCACAGGGGCCAAGCAGATGAGCATTATTCAGAGGCATGTACCACCCCCATCCCGATCCTGGAGGTGGTACACAGCACCTGCTCCCTTCTCCTCCCCCCCCCACTGTGCCACAACGGAGGCACCAAGGCGCAAGGTTACCCGACTCTAAGGACGCAACCCTTCTGTCCAGCCCCCCAGGGCTCCTCTCTGCTGGGAGGGGGGCAGGGAGAAGCCCCAAAGCCCAAAGAGTTGCCAGCCAATGCAGGCTGGGTCCTTGGCACAAGACCACCACCCTCACGCCCTGCTTGGGACCACCTTGGAGAGATGCAGCTCCTTCCCCTGAACACCACAGTAAAGGTAAAGGTCAAGGGACCCCTGACCATTAGGTCCAGTCGTGGCTGACTCTGGGGTTGCGGCGCTCATCTCACTTTATTGGTCAAGGGAGCCGGCGTACAGCTTCCGGGTCATGTGGCCAGCCTGACTAAGCCGCTTCTGGCGAACCAGAGCAGCACACGGAAATGCCGTTTACCTTCCTGCCGGAGCTGTACCTATTTATCTATTTGCACTTTGACATTCTTTCGAACTGCTAGGCTGGCAGGAGCAGGGACTGAGCAACGGGAGCTCACCCTGTAGTGGGGATTGGAACCACCGACCTTTTGATCAGCAAGTCCAAGGCTCTGTGGTTTGACCCACATCCTCCCTGGTCACCATACTGGCTCCAAAAGGCCTGCCCCCCCATCAGTGCATAAGAACACAAGAGAAACCTGCTGGGTCAGGCCAAAGTGGGCCCATCTAGTCCAGCCTCTTGTTCTTGGGGGGGGGGGGCAACCAGATGCCTCTTCTGGGAAACCAGCGAGCAGGATCCGAGCACAAGAGTAGCCCTCTCCAGTCTCCTTCCTGGCCCTCAGGACCACACAACCCTTCCCCCAGCAGAGGATCCGCTCTGGGCACCCGGAGCTGAGACATAATATGGCAGATAAAGGCTGCGTAATGTCGGCAGCTCACGTTACCGCCTGCTGCCCCCCTCCAGGACAGCCCCATTGCTCACGCGCTGGGAGACCGAAGGAGACAGCAGCGGTTATTTTTAGATGGTCCCTTTTGGGCCGGGAATCCCATGCGCAGGAACTGCAGTCCAAAGGCCATTCCCACCCACCGGGCGGCACATCCCTCGCCTGCTCGCCTGCTCCCCAGGCCTCACGCTGCCCAGTCCTGGGCACCACCTCTGCCACCCTCCCCGGGCATCTGTTGTGCAACTGGGGCACACCAAGCCAGACTGAGCATCCATGGCCACACCCAGAGCAGGCAGGACCAATTCTGGAATGCCAGAGCAGCACCTACCACCAGCCGGATCTAGAAACAGGGGCACCCGGAGAGCAGGACAAGCCCCACTGCCCGCCACAGGGGGAGGTGTTGTGGCTTCACCTACTCAGCCCCCAGGGCAGGAAGCAAGGGGGTGTGAAATCCCTCAAGGTCAGAGGAGGAGGAGGATTAAATTGCCCCAGCTGGAATTTGGCCCAGATCCCAAAGCTGGCTCTCCTGCAAGAGGGGCTGGGCCTTGCAACCCAGGCCACTGAGCGCCCTGGCCCCTCGGGGCTCCAGCTCTTCAGGAGGGGACCAGCTCCCCTTGGGATCCAACTGGGAGACTGGGGAGGGAGGCTCCCCTCCAAGTTAGACACCGGCTGTCCAGCATTCACAGGAGCTGGCAGAGGCACAGCTTGCAGCCAGGAGTACAGGATTCAGCCACTTCCGCAGAACCACCCCAGGCGTCCAAAGCACAGGGGGAAACGCTCCAAATATTTATTTAAATTTTGTGGTCATTGGAGAGGGTGTGGAGAAAGAGGCAAATATATTTAAATGTTGGAGGGGTCCTTGCTGGTATGTCTGCATGATTCAGCAAAAACTACTCGTCCTGCTGCTCCCCCAGCTAAGAATGTGATATACCGTAAGCCTCCTGGATGAGGCCAGTGGCCCAGTTAGTTCAGCCTCCTTTTATTTTTACAGTGGCCAGTCAGATGCTCTTCCCAGACACCCACGAGCAGGACCCAACCACAAGGGCATCCTTCGCTCCTGCGCTCTGCAGCTTGGATGCCCACGCAACCGCTCCGATCCGCAGAACAGGCACTGTTCTATGTGCCACACGACACCCATTTTGCATCTGTAAGAAATCCACCTTTTAGTGCAGCAGCACCAGTCCTGGGGAACTCCCTGCCTAGTGGCATCATTCAAGCGCCTTCACCAAACTCTCTTTGGCACCTGCTAAAGACCTTTTTGTTTAAGCAAGCC